TGTAAATTCTAGACTCTGTTTCAAAACAAACATATGACAGAAAGAAAAAAAGAATGAAGACAACCTTGGAGAACAGAATACAACTGTCCTTGTTTGTTTCTGTCAGCATTCCATCACCGAAGCAAATACCTGTGAAAATTAGCTTATAAGGAAGTGATAGGTTTTAGCTCATGGTTTCACGTTTCTGTCTATGATCAACTGGGCTATTTGCTTTGGGGCCTGTGCTGAGGCAGAGCATCATGGAGAAGCCTGTGGCTGAGAAAAACTTTACCTCATTGATATCATGAGGTAGAGACTCAGGGGAAGTGGAGAGGGGAGTGAAGGGGGCAGAGTCTCAATATTCCCTTAAAATGCATATCCACAAAGCCTTAATTTCCTCCAAATAGACCCTACCTCTTAAAGTTTCCACAACCTCCCAATAGCATCACAAGTTCAGTGCTAATCTTCACATGTCCCTTGAGGAGACAATTCCAAATCAAAGTACAGAACTTATCAGCCATAGAGATTACATTAAGACCCTGAAGAATATCAAAAAGATAAACCATTCCCTTTAGTAGAATGGAATGGATCTTATATATGAACCTGGCACATCCTTTCATAAATTTGAAATCAATTCTAAATTCCTGTTCTAGTTTGCTTTCTGTTGTTATGTTAACACCATGACCGAAAACCAACTTGGTGAGAAAAGAGCTTATTTTATCTTATACATTATGGACCATCATCCAGTGAAGCCAAAGCAGGAACAGAAGCAGGAAACTAGAGTCAAGAAAAGAAGAATGCTGCTTACTAGCTAGCTTCCTCCAGCTTGCTCTACTAAAGTACTTAACATCCCACCAGTCTAGGGATGGTACTACCCACAGGAGGCTGGTCCCTTCTAAATCAATTAGCAGTCAAGAAAATACCCCAAAGACACGGACACAGTCCAACCTGATGGAAGAAAGTCCCTAACTGAGTTCTCCTCTTCCTATGTATGTCTATGTTTTTGTCAAGTTGACAAAACCTAACCAGTACAACCTGCTCCTTCTGTTTGTCACAAACACATCATTTCCAACCATAACCTTTCCTTTCTTCATCTATAAGATCTTATATTACTATCATGACAAGAATACAGCACAATTATAAACTCTTTGAAAATTTCAGTGTTTTAAAAGTCCAACATTTCTTTAAAAATCCAGTCTTTTAATTGTGGCTCCTTTAAAATCCAAAATGAGTTACATAATTTTTTATTCAAAGAGGGAAGAATTCAGGCTATTATAGTCAAATAAAAGCAAAACCAGTATTCAACAGTGTAAAAACTCAGTGTTCAGCATCTGAAACTTACTGATGACCTTTAGAACTCCAAAGGGGCTTGGGTATCTCTACCTCTGCCGTGTAGCACACAGCTTATTTCAAAGGCTCAGGCTTGCTCCACCTGTTGCTGTCCTTCGTAGATGTCCCACAGTCCTGGCATCTCCAATGTCCTGGGGTCTCTACTTCAACTGAATTTTCACCTTTACCAATGGCTCCTCCTGACCTTTTGTGGTACCAAGACTCAGCACGTCTTAATGACTCCTTCAATCCTGGGGTCTCCACTGTAACTGAGGCTGCATCTTCACCAATGGTTGTTCCCAGTCTTTTTTTTTTTCAGTATTATCACACATTGCCAAGTCAGGGATTCTGGCATACTACAAAGTTTGGCTTCCAGCTTGAGATGATGCTTTGGCTCCCTTTGGACCACAGGTTCTGTGTGCTGACCTTGAGGAAATACTTCCCATAACATTTCCCTCAGTGATACTGGTCTCTTATTAATCAAAGCTAATTTTTCAGCCCTAGATAACTATTATCTATTGTTCCAGTAAGGCAAAGCTTTCATTCAGTGGTGCTACTGTTTTTCTAAAGACAGATCACTCCTCAGTCTCAGCCAACCAGAAACCACAAATTCTTAATTCAATATATCACATGAGCAGCCATGATAGAACTTTTGAGGGACTCCCAGACTTCCCTCTGAAATTTCACAAGTCGGGTCTCCATTATCTGAACTTCTTTCAGCATTATCTTTCAATTCTTACAACAGCTAAATTAAACTTTGAGGACTCAATGGCTTTTCCAGTCCAAAGCTCCAAAATCTTCTACAATTTCTCCCCAAAGCAACCTGGTCAGGTCTATCCGAGAAACATTCCCCTGTCTGTTACCAATTTCTGTTCTAGTTAGCTTTCCATTGCTGTGATAAAACACTAATCAACTTGGCGATGAAAAGATTTATTACATCTTATATGTTGGCTACAGTCCATTATCAAACGAAGCTAGGGTAGGAGCTCAAGCAGGATCCTGGAGGCAAGAATTGAAGCAGACCATGGAGGTTTACTGCTTACTGACTTGCTTCCTCTAGTTAGCTTGGCTACCTTTCTTATATACTTCTGAACCACCTGAGCTCTCCTACATTAACTAGTAAACAAGAAAATGTCTCACAGATATGGCCACAGACCAATCTGATGGAAGAAATTACTCAGTTGAAGTTACCTCTTCCCAGGTATGCAAACTCCTGCCTCACCAAAGATTCCAATGCTGAAATTACAGGTATATGCTATTCTTACTCTGTGCACATTCTCTCTCTCTCTCTCTCTCTCTCTCTCTCTCTCTCTCCTCACTCTCACTCTCTTGCTCTCTCACTCTCATCTTTCTTTGAGACAGGGACTCCCTGTAGCACTAGCACGCCTTGGACACACTGTGGAGACCAGGTTTGCTTCTGCCTCTGAGCCACCATACCCAGCCCCTCAGCTGTCTTATTCATCTGATCTTTTATCAGAATTTTCCCCAATGAGATAAGAAATATTTTTAAAAAATAGGTATCAAATTCACAAAATGAGTTAGGTATTTATTTATAGTGACATTGGGCAACCAAAGTCTCAGTTTTTCATCCTGAATATTTGCCTAGCAACCATACCTACACCAAATGACTAGTGGAATCATTAAATTATATGGCATGGAAAGTATTTCATATGGTATAAATACAATCAATAATTGCTAATGTTTTAAATATAGCATGGTCAGAGAGACTAATTGGTCTTTACTTGGGAGTGGAAATATGCTTCCTCCAAGCACTTCTGTTCTCTATCTGTGTACTGCCTCCTCCTCTACACTAACACCATGTGGTCATTTTATATAGTATGATGGAGAAAGCACTCAGTAATTGCTAGTCTGACTGATATTAGCAAATTGAACTTTAAATCTTGGCAGCATCTTTGTTACTAAAATGAAAACATGGTTACACGTTACCTGTGACTGGAGTTCCCAGCCCTTAGGGGTGATGTCTTCCTATACCCACTTCATTGCTTGTTTTCAACACCCCTAGCTCTTGTTAAAAAAAAGTTCTCTTTCCTCTCAGAAAAGAAATCTATAAATGAACACAAAACTTACAAGATACTATTTAAAAGCTGAACAGATTAACCCAGGACAGTAGATCTGAGTTTAAATGTTTAACTAGCTGTGTAACCTTTGAAATCCCTATTTTTTTTTCTGAGCATCATCTTTCTTAAATCTAAATTAGGAAAAATCGCTATATTAATTGGTTGGAGACATTAAATAAGATATTGTAAGATCCCCTGGTACTTAGTGAGAAGCTCAACATTTCAGTTGCTTTCTCCTACTTTTCTTTCAGGACTTCAAATATTAGTCATTATTGAGGATGCCAATACGGTATTTTGTGACAAGTTCCTTGGACACACATTTCAATTTGGTGTCAAACAACAGAAAAATGTAAGGAAACAAAAATTTTTAGTACTTCTTGGTATTATGGTAAAACCATTTCTGGAATCATACATAAATTTCCCACAGAAAAACCTAATGTTGATTTTAGAAGACAGCACTATTTTCTTAAAGCAATATTTTCTAAGTGATAAGATCTCAATTTCAGCTTATATAAAGTATATATAAAACAAAGTAAACATTTGCCTGCAACCAGTTCGTGCAGTGAATCTAAGATGTTTTGTGAGAAGTTTATCTTAAGTGCTTTTAATTTTTCCTGTGGTTCATTTATGAAAGACCATCCATTTAACAGTGGCAGGGGAGAGGCAATCTGGAGATCAGCTTTCACTTAATGATTTTAATTTTTAAAGGTGAGATTTGAAGAGACACTGCTGGAAAAATCCCCTCTTGGTTTCTTTAAAGATTAGTAACAATATTCTGCCCTGAAATTTAGGTCTTGTGATTTCTTTTCAAGAGATTTCTCACTGCATAAACATCTGTCTGGAGTAGCTTTACTACTGAATTCGGGATTATTTGAAGACCCAAGAGTGTACAAACATATCTTCAATGATAATATCAATCATCTGGAAGTGAAAAAAAATGTATCTCACCAACCTCGCAAAAGAAACTAAACTGGCTCTTCCATAATATGGTCTGGGTTCACTTTGTATTTCTTTCAAAATTTGAAAGTTTCAACAACTATAAATTTAATTCACCCATTTTCCAAGGGAGGATAATCAGGGATGTATATTTTATTAATTATCCATGTGGCATAATTTACAAGGATGCTTTGAATATCAGAAGAGATTAAGTCAGACTTCAATATCTGGCAGACACTACTTGGAAAAGACTTGTATGCAGACACCAATCTAGGGTGGGGACCAGCTTCCAAACACAACCTTTCACAAACTGGCCACAAGAGAAGCAAATGTCCCAAGCGGTTTTCTTTTGCACAAGATGTAGATGGCTGGCTTGTGGAGAAAGCTAAAATCCCTCACCTCTCCTCTAATTCTAGGCGGATAAGCAGAGTCAGATCTTTCCCATTGGTAGCCTAGCTGAGACAATGGCAGGAGGTGGACAACTAGTGCCCATCCTTTAGATTGGATTTGGAAAAGGCAGGATGTTAGGATGGCAGCGATGTTGATTTGTTTTGTTTGCTTCACATCTTGCTTCCCCAGATTCATCCAGCCCGGTGCTCAGGAAGGACGCAGCAGGCAGCCGCAGCCGCAGTGGCCCCTGCGTCAGGGGGCGATGGGGCGGGGAGGAGCGGCGCAGCCAGCAGACCTGCCTCACTCCCCCACGCCCCGCCACCACCCGCAGCCTCCCTTCTCTCCCGCAGCCTCTTGGCGGCCACAGCACTGGCAGGCTGGGCACGTGGGCGCTTCCGTCACACCCTCACTCATACACACACGTACACACACACACACACACACACACACACACACACACCCGGGTCCGCGCGCCCGCATCCCGTTTTGCTCCCCTGGCAGACACACAGACGCTCACGAGTCTCTCTGTGTCACTGCAGGGCAGCGACCTCCAAACCCATCTCCAGGGCGCGCCCTTGGCGAGCAGCGGTTGCTCTCCAGACAGCTCCTTTGCTGCCTCTGGCACCGCCACCTGGACCGACCCTGTCTCCGATTGAGAGAAGATCAGTGAGAGGTGCTGGCCCGACTGCTAGAGGTAACATCTTGCTCCTGTGCTCCCGACACTGCTAGGGGTAAAGCGGGACTCACCCTCAGCCACCCGGGAGTCGGGGGACGCGGAAGGAGAGCTGTATGGATGGATGGAGCCGGGGAAAGATTCACACTGGATGCTCAGAGCAGGAAGGGCCGCTAGAAAGCTGGGAGGGCGAAGGTAGTTTCTGTTGTCCTCTGCTCTCTATGTTCTGCACTTGTGCAAATAGAGGTTCGGGTGGTGGGGGGTCTGAGGAGGCACTTATGTGGAGAAGCACGTGGGTCGAAACGTGCCGCCATCCTTCCTTCCTTCCCTAGGTGGAAACTGCCAGTGCATCCCTGGAGACCTACTTGCTTTAGAGTGAAATTGGGAGTTGAAGGGTGGGTGGTGGAAGTCCGAGAGGAAAGTTGGGGTCGGGGCAAAGAGGTGCACTTGAGGTAAGTAGGGAGCTGATCATCTTGTGGGTGGGCAGTGGGTGGGTGAGAGCAGCTAGCTTCCTTCCTGGTTGGCTTGTGGATCTTTAGCAACTGCGATCGCCACTATCAAGGCAGTGCTTTCACGTGACCCTGATTCTCTTTTGCTAGCGGCATCCTGTGATGATGCACTACCCCAAAGCCGGCCTTTCGCCGCGAACACCGCACGTGGCTGCTGGAGAAAGCACTGCTTGTGTCTTTCTTTCTGCATATCCTGGAATCCTAGAGGTTGGCAGAAAGGGTGGTGACACTTGGATCATAAAAATAATGGCAGGGTAACTCGAAACCCATATCGCTTCTCCCCACCAGCTCATCCACTTGACTGATCTGTGAGTGACCAGAGGAAATGATGATTTTTGAACACAATACGTTACAGAGGAAGCTTTTCAGTATTCACTTGAGCCTTATGCAAGCAAAAGAATACTAATCTTGGGGATGACCCAGGAACAGGAATGACCCAGCCGCTGGCAAGGGTCGCAGGGGAGGGAGTTCTTTTCCAATGACCAGAGACGTGACATTGAATGCGATGCAAGAGAGCCCAGGGAGCTTTCATAGTCGTAAGTGTGGGGCTTTCCCTTTTCGTCCTCCACCCAGGAAAAAGGCTGGAGTAAGACTGGGCGGGGCTTGGAGGCCAGCTTGGTGACGTAGGCAGTGTTTGGGTGCTTATGCAAATGACACTGCAGGCCCTTCCTGCTGTCTGTAGTCTTTCCTCTCCAGGTCTTAAAGTTAGACCCAAATCAACTGTGAACCATTGCTAGTTCTGTGCCCTCCTTTCCAGACCTGAGACGTGTGAAAGGGTTTTTTGATGTCTCATTTGGGCTCCTCTTCATCTTTTATGTGAAGCGTGCTTTATGTCTGTCAGTGCTTGGTTGCTTTCTGGAATACCACAAAGTAGCCCAATCAGGCTTCTCATCCCAAATGTTTCCTTTCTGATACATGGACACCATTATGTATTTGGTAAATAGTGCTAACCTTTTTTAGGTACTTTATAAATACTTAATGAAATGAGGCTTAAAAAAATCTGGCAATACATGTGTTTCTCTTATACTGTCTGGGGAATATAATCATCCTTATCAGATGATTTTGTATTATCCCATCACATTTAAAATTGAATTAACTGAACATTCTCTTCCAAGTGCAACTGTTAGTACGTTCATTTTTATCTCCCCTAGAAGTCAAAAATTAGAAAATTTTGAGAGGAAAGAAGTCTCTCAAGGTTTATTGCAAAGGGCTGTGTGATTACACACTAGTCAAATGCAGAATTGTTGCATTCCAGCCCGGCATGATGGTGCTCTCCTTTAAACCAGGACCACCTGAAGCAGAGGCAGTCTGATCTCTGTGAGACTGAAGGCAACCTGGTCTACATAGCCAGTTCAAAAAAAAAAAAGTACAAAAGATATTTTTTCACAATTCAATGTATCTAACTCATTTTGACTTTTAAAGAAATTTAAAGATGTGCATGTTTTATACATGTTTCTCAAGATAAGTACTTTGTTGCTAAATTAACAGGAACTACAGAACTTTAGGATTAGACTATCTAGCCTTTAGAGATAAGACGGGATGCTTAACTAGTCAGTTATTGAAAGGTCTAAAATGGGTTAAAACAGTCATTGCAACTTGAACTCCACAGGTGGGATTGTATATTCATGTACTTATTCAGTGATCATAGTGCAATCTTTAACATGTGCATGCAATGAAATTTGTTTCACTGGTCATAAAATAAAACCTTGTATGAACAGGAAAGACTTCTGTGTTCCTAAAAACTGGGGATATTATTCAGGCAATTATAAAAAATCAAGTTTCAGCACTGGGGAGGTAGAGGCAGGTGGATCTCTGTGAGTTCAAGGCCAGCCTGGTCTACATAGTGAGTTCCAGGACAGCTGGGGCTACAGGGAGACCCTGCTTCAAAAAGACAAAAAAAAAAAATCATTCCCTTACAATGGCAGAGTTGAGAGACCACAATGTTTATTAAAACTTCCTTTTTTTCCTTTAATTCGCCATTTAACATTCAACTTTGTTGAAGAGTATGTTAACTCATTACTACTACAATTGCATGATTGGACTTATTAATATATTCATGTATAGAGTGGACGTCAAAATGATCTCTGAATAGATGACATTATTAATTAAAATCCACAGACATAGTCTGACGTGTGAGAAACATCCAGTGTTAAATGGCATTAATCTTCAGATTTAGTCTCAGTTTATTAACACATTATTCTTCTGCTGATATTTAGTAATTCTTGATAAACTTACATATTAAAATGTTAACTTTGACCAAAATTAGATCTCTTAAAGTTGCAAATCTTAAATACTGGGATTCAGGATAGGTTTAAACACACAGTATCACTTGATATTGAATAGAATTGCTGTAGCCTTAATGGTCACTTTATTTCTTTGAGATAAATGCACTAAGCTATCTTCTGATATAAGAATGATTGTTAGCTTTGAGTAGAATGCTTATCCTGGAAGCCATTTCATCTGTCAGACTGGTAAAGATAAAAAAGGTGGCTCATTGTATTGAAGAAGTCCCAGTCACTCAGATACTATGTGTGGTTGTGGAAATTGAGGCAGTTTCATGAAGAACTTGGCAATATTTTTCAGAACTACAAAAGTACTCACTTTTTGATCAACCATTTTCACCTGTAGGAATTTATCTATACATTCCAAAGTGCAGCATACACATACCATTTATTGTAATATTCATACAATACATTCGTATAGTGTATATATACAATGAATATTATATGGCTATTAAAATGAATCTAGTATATTAAGTATTTGAATATTTTTTGCCAAAACAAAAGAATACAGAAATATGCATAAGAGATAGGTTAGGGTGGGAGAACATATTGTAAAGTAAAAAGATCAAATAAATCTCATAGATAGAGCAGTATCCACATATCAGATGTCATCAAGGTGGGGTAGTGCAAAAATCAACAAGCAGCTCTGTGTTGTTGTTTGCAAATTTGTAAGGAATTTCCTCTTTCAAATTTTAATAATAAAATCTCATTAAAAGAAATTTAAAATCTAATGAACTGATCATTTTCTTCCCAGTTTTAGAACAGAGTTAGATGAATCACTGAGCTAGCAGGTAGATCAGCATAAGAGCACATATTTCTTTTTCTTTTATTACTGAGTAGACTTACAGAATCATATGTAATTGTTGAGGTATAATGGAAGTATATAACAAAGCCATAGTCAGAACATTGACTTTATTATAGTCACAAAAAGAACCATTCTTCACCAGGAAGTCTCTTGGCTGTCTTGTCATGACCACTGCCACTTCAGCCCAGCCCATTTCAGGGAGATATAGAATATACAGTCTTTTTCACTCACTGTAATTCTATTCATTCTCATTGGTTGTGATATATATATCATTAGTATTTTTTTTTAGTGCTCTATCATATGGATACATCAGAGTTCAGCATTCACTCACAAGATGATAACCGGGTTATTCCCAATCTGGAGCTGTTGGGATGAATGTTGCTATGCACGGTTTTATGGAAAATACATTGTAACTTATCTAGGGCACTGCCTTTTAAAACTATTTTCTTAAGTGAAGCTCCTAACTCTTTTCTGGAGTTGTCATATTTTATATGCTTACAAAACATAAATGAATGTCCCATTTTTGATTTATCTTCCCCAGAAGTTGACTGTCATTATATTTTAGAGGTATGTAGTTGCAATTCATTATCATTTTGTTTCCTTAACTGGTGTTAATATCGAACCTCATTTCGTGTGTTTATTTGCCATCAATACACAATTCAATGGAATGTTTATCTATGTCCTCTACTCACTCTATAGTTTGTATTTTGAATGGTTAGCTCATAAAGGCTTTTTATATACCTGAATCACTAGCCTTTTTTCCAATATATGGTCTTCAAACATTGTCTAAAAGCAATTTTTTTTAAATTTTTAAAAATGATTTATTTAATAAAAACATACTTAGAAGAAGCATATCATTACAACACAATTGACATATTCAATAACGGTTTCCTGAGGTAGGATGCATCTCTTTCAAAATTGGCTGTAAATTTTTAGGTTTACAGTTGAATTATTACAGTTATACAATATTGTACTCAGTATAAACCCTATAAGACATAAATTAAATGATGTTTTAACCTTTAAAAAAGATCTCCATTTCATTATTAAAATACACAGTTTCATATAGAAAAATTCATTTTAATGCAATTAACATTAAGATGTTTGCACATGCATTTCTAATCTCT